AGAGCGAAGAAGGTGTCTCCCCTATCCACGAATTTCAGCAAGCACTCAATCTACAAGCTCACCCGTACAACCGGTGCTCCGTACTTCTACATCCTTTCATGGTACGTGTCTGCCTTCTATGGAATTTAGTGAGAAAAAAATTGAGCCCATTCATGGAGCTATGTAATTTGAAGTGGGATGCGGCCCTGAGTTTTGTTTTTCCTCTGATGTTCGAGGAACTGAAGAAATTTCAGTGAGAAGGAAGCCTGTGCGTGTGTGTGGTCGCTGCTATGTTCCCATTCGAGTTGTGCGTATGCGCTGCTGCATCCAGATCCATCCTCAGTGGAGGTTTGCTGCCAGGTATGACTTCAACGCTGAGGCTAATTGACTTTGATGGGATCAGGGGTTTCCCTGATTAGTTGGTCCCTTGAGTACCAACGGCTTCCTGCGCTTGTTGATTATGAGATGTGTTTGGTTGGGTTGAATCAAAGGAATTTCTAGTTCTTGTAAGTAAGAATTACTGAAGACTAGTTGGTATAGTTACTAGTTCCTCTTGGTTTTGGTTGGTGCTCATTACATCTAGTTGAATCAATGAAAATAATTGAAGTTCTAAAGATTTTTTTGTCACTAATGGTATGAATTTAGGATCCTACTTTTCAAAACTCCATGGATTTGTAGTTGATGCAACTTGATCCATCTATTTCTTGCTTAGACTGCATTTATCATTACGATACCGCTCGTTGGAACTGCTACTTAGTAGAGCTCAATTTTGTCCGTTTCCTCTCTTTTCTAATCGAAAGATATGCAAGTTAGAATAGTTTGCACACTTGTTATATATAGTTGCACAGAGAGGAATTACAAGCTTCATAGAAAGCAGTACATAGTTGCACACCTAAGCATACATAGTAGCACGTTGACTGCCAAGTAGTTGGTCAGGGCAGCCGCCGAAGTTGCACATCCTACTCGTAGGGGTAGTTTGTGAGCAGGTGTCCACAACACGCCTACAGCGGTGGTCAAGGTCTGACTGCTAGATCCATTGTGGCTGGGTTAGTAGGTCACCAGGGGAGTCCTTGGTCGTGGAGTCGGAGTAGCACCTCCACTACCTCCTCCAATTCCTTTTTTCCGGTGATGGATCTGGACCGCTATGGTCGTTAGGAAGCCACGCAAATTCGCACAACCATGCTTTCGTAGTTGCACATCGACAACCAGACAATTGGTCAGGGCAGCCGC